TGGTATCAAACTGTAGATTATAAATTAAATTTTAGTAATATACATTATTTAATTTCTTAATTAAGTAAATATTAAAAAAACACAGTTAAACATTGATTTTTGTGTGTCATATGGTATGATGAATGCAACACTGGTTCAAATTAGATGTTTGTGATGCCAAAATACTAAGTCTATAGTTTTTCATGAATTAGGAACTCAAACTACAGATATTGACAAGCTAGAATATAAAATAAAAAGGTCTTTTTAATTTGCTAAGATATTGCTTATGTAATAAATCAAACACAGTGGCATCCCACCCACCTCTTTCCATTTTTGGAAATGCTCCCTTATATACACTTCTGTATATGACATGAATAACCAATCCTATGTCAAGCAGCAACCAAGTACAAAGCTCATAACTAGAAGAGATAATTGTTTGCTTTACTTCTTTATTTGCTGTTCTATGTTTTAAGAAAAATAAGTTTAAGAACTTATTTTTAAACAGTAATAATCTATATACATATATAATGTATAATAATGGAAATGTGACTGTATTTTACAAAATACTGGTCTACTAAAACACAGCCAAGACAGGTCACTTTGTAAAGACTAAAGGTCAGTTTTATATTATTGGATACGGTAACATGAGCCATGTCATTGTAACTCTTGTATTGTTAGCCAGGTATGGCTGAAAGTTCAGTATATATAAATGTATAATGTTATACGATTTAAGCTATTTTATCTAAACATTTATGTTTTCGTGCTATAATTTGTTGTCATTCTAGAACGAAAGAGGCGTAACTTATATTCGTTTCCTAATTCTTTATGGTGGTTACGAGATCAGTCAAATCTACTGAACCCGTACAGAGATTCATTAGTGAAAATAACAGATAAAATATAAAAATTTTTAATAGGAAACATTTGGTAACTAACTGGACATTATAAAGATTTTACATGTGAAATTTGAAAATTTTCTGATGTATAAAAGTATTTTTAATCTTAAAATGAAAATTACTTTGCATATTGCTTATCCAATGTGCAAAAAGAAAAAAAGGTATGAAAAGAACATTGCTTAACAAACCTTAAGACTTAATAAAAATATTTGATATTTGGTGTATGAAAACATTGTAAATTTTACTGATAATCTTCCAAATTTCCTTACCATACGCTTACTAATTTAAAAGTTATATCATGAAAACTACAACAAGCACAAAATGGTCATGAGGTTGGTCCTAGGGACCGAGCCCGTGCTGAATGGGTTAAATAAAAACAGAAACATTTCAACTGCTAACTTGCCACACAGTTAAACTGACTTAATTTTTGTGATAAATTAAGTAGTTTATTTTGTTACTGATTTAATATAATATTTGTTGTATTACTATACCAGTATAATGTTTGGCATATCTCACAAATGGCATGGCAGGGGTGGGGTATAAGTGGTATCATATTGATGCAAATCCACCAGTTGTTACATATGCCTCCAAGGATGCCATTATGTCTGATCAATCACACCAATTGTTCAAAATGTGCATCTCCAGCATCCATGTGACAACAGACATTACAAAAACAATATCTGGTGTACTGGCCATTTTCCGGACAGCTGCATCCTTAAGGTCTGGAATTATACAAAGCTTCCCATGGTGAATACATGACTTGACATTCCCCCTACACCTAGAAATTGGCTTGTGATTGGTACAGTGAAAAAGAATGACATTCACGAGGGAAGTGGCATGAAATAATTTTGTCTGAAAGTTCCCCTGAAGATGTGTTTATTCTAGTTATCAGTATACATAGGGGCAACAGCCTGGAAAACACATTGGTTGTGAGCACTTCTGGCACTGTGCTGATGGTTCATCAGAAAACTACAGTCAGCTGTGATTCACACTGCCACCTTAGCATCATGGAGATGTCCAGGAAATGTTGCATGTGGATTAGTTTCTAATGAGTAATGCACTTAAGCATCTTTACACTTCTAGAAATGATGAAGTGTACTTCACCAGTCCATAAGATACTGGCAGGCCGTTGACCATG